AAATTTAAATTAAATCTTATTTATTATTCTATTTATATATATCATAGAGTACTTAAAATTTTTATCTATTCTACTTTGCTAATCTTTAGTCAATCACAGCGGTTTTCTATGCAATATAATTAATACTAATTGTGGCGACGCTGCCGCTCCGCAGCAGTGCACGGTATGCACGCGCCATTAATACGGCGGGCGCCATTATAATTCGGTGGGCGCCTTTATGGCGACGGAGTAACCATCATTGCAGGTAATTTTTACTTTTTATGGTATAATTCTTTTTGGGAGTAATTTTTTTAATATAATCATCATTGCATTATCATAAGATTTATAGGATTATTAATCTACAAAGCATTCTTTTAAAATTTGCATGCTCTACATATTCGTAAATATACTGGATTACAATTCACGGTAACAATTCACTCATTAAAAAATATCCAAAATGCAATGAATAAATTATGTAGAGTTTATTTCAGAACATGTGAACTATAATTAAGTTTTCGGATATCTTTAGATATCGTCCCTTCCAACCCTCGTAAAAAAGAACTACTAGTGCAGTGATAACACTATACTAAAATGTAGTAGTGGCACTGCTGTTATAGCACTGACACTACTACATTTCAGTTAATTTGCGACTTTCTCTTAATTCTGCACTTTCTTTTTTACTAGGGTACTCGACCTTGTCGTTGTGGAAGGGCTCAGTACTCCGAAGATTTAAAAATTAATTATATACTAGTTAATTAATTAATTATAAGTTTAAAGACGGGGAAGCTAACCGAGTATCCATTGCACCCAGTGAGAAATGATCGCCAATTCGATACAGCTGGCGAATTAAAGGTCATTTTTCACTGGGTTCCCAGATAATGAGAAAACTCAGTTATATGTCACTAATTCTGAGTTAATTTCAGATTCAAAAAGAATTCTTTTTCTAAAATAGACTGAATATATACTAATAATTCTTTTGGTTTGTTTTATCTCTGTATAAATTCTCTGTGTGCTATCTGGGATTACCGTCGCCGATTATAAAAATAACGATGGTTCGTCGTTTCTTAGATTCTTTCGTTTCATTAAAAGGCTGCCATGGGCTCCTCTCTCGGGTTTCTCTCTGATTAAGATCTAAATCATTGGGGCTAAGACCGTTGTTATCAACTTTTACCTTCGATTTTAACATTTTCATCACTCATAATCCAGTCACGATTCTGTTCGACCAATTTCTTCCAATAATCTGCAAAATTAAATTTACAAGTTTATATTACCTACATTAAATTAAATAATTATGCAACAAGTCAAACTAGTACAAGTACATGTACATTTTAGAATTCAGTGATTTCTTAGCTTTTATTGATTAATTGAACAATTGCTGTCAAAAATTTACTTTTTCTTCGCTAATACGTTTTAGTTTTTATTATTACCAGTTAATTCCTGAAGTGTACCATCAGTTCCCCCATACTCGATTGGCAAGATATCTCTTGGGACATCCTTAAAGCAGCTCAGCGACATGTGTGAGTAAACGTGAAATCTGTTCTTCATCTTCTCCGTTAGGAAAGATTTCATAATTCTGGCAATACCATCGAAAATTGTCGGCGCATTGATAAAGTTCATCGATTGCACCCTTATAGGATAGCAATTCTTCCACGCGTGTACTCCATTCCATATTACATAAGGTGACATTTTAGCTACGTGACGGATTGATAGATTGACCATGTCAAGAAACAGTGTGATACCATATACAGATGCTGTGGCGTTATTCCTCATCGTTAGCTCTAGCATTGTCACAATTATCTGAAAAAATAATCGTCCGTTTGGAAACAATGGGATACATATTTTCACGGAATCAGAAACACGTTATTTGTGGTTCCAATTTTTACCTTAATTACGTCAGTTAATTTGTGTATTGTCGGGTCATGTCGAGTGTAGCGTACGATGAGAACCAATCTTCCTCGACTATCCAGTTTTCGCAGAGGCAAACACACCCTAAACAATAATATATTTTAAAATCTTTTGCAGAAGTCAATGTTAACTTTACAGCGATGCATCTAATTGTGCAAAAAAATTTGTAATAAAATATTTTTGCCAAAATATAAAATAGAAGTAATATAAGTTGACAAAAATTTAAATAATTTGTCATAAAAATTAGTTGCAATTTGGAATGTTTTCTATCCAATCTTTATAAATAAAAAATAAAAAAATTCACTGTTGATCTTCATTGATCAAATTGGAATTATTAATAAAATTTATATTTATAAAAATAAATATAAATTAATATATAAAAGAATTGAGTTTTGCCAGAATAAAGTGATATTAAATGCATATTGTAACCTCCATAATTAAAAGAAAAGTTGGTAGTAATAATTATTATAGTTTAGAAAGAAGTCGTAAATTATTGTTCATTATTTTTCCACATCTTTTATTCCAAGATATTTGAATATTTGGATATAAAAGTTAAAATGTCTACATAACTTAAGGTAACTTGCAGATTTCTCAAGCCCTGATGAGAAAGTATATATAGAGCAATAGGGCATATAAGGGCGTATATAGGTAACATCGAAGTTTTGTAAAAACAAAGAAATTCGCAGACGTAGCTCGACAAAATAATAAAATTAACTATTGCTTGTTCTATCAAAATGTATCCCAAAATTATATTTTCCAAATGTTAAAGCTATTTTAACTAAATAATTGTCGGATTCAAGTAAAATTGAAAAAAAAAAACAATTCCTGCGTGCTTTCCAAATCGCCTAAAATGCATGGAATCCTTTACAAAATACTTCACAGTAAATCATTTGAAATCTGATCTATGTTATTTTTAGATAATTAAAGTAGAAGAGAGATTTCTTTTAAATTATAATACGTTTAAATTATAATACATTTCAAAAACAATGCGATTGTTACCCTATATCAAGCAACTCCTGTAATTCCGGTTGAAACGGATCCTTATTCAGGTACCATTCAGGTAAAGCGGATCGCTGCTTACAATAGTTTTGTATCCTGGTTTTAGTTTTCTCGAGATTAAACTTGCCAACTCTCAAAAATCGCAGGATAAGAAAATTATCTGTATACAAATTAAGAATTCTCTTCAAAATAATTCCAAATAAAAAGCTACAAAGCAGTGCTAAATCTATTATTAAGTATTACCAAAGACCTTATACGGACTAGCAATGTGCTATAAGTATTTCTGTATATGAAGTAGCGTCGGAGGAGGTTAGATCATACTGTACGGTATATTATAGTAGTTTCTCTTCCTCAAAGTGTCCAAACATATACACTGCACATTTCAATGAAATATATAGCGCGCATATATATATATGATCACATGCTGATCGACACAATCAATGCGAGCGTAATTAAAATGTACCAGAATATAACATATGTAATAATATGTGTCAACATACATGAAACGTACTTCCGGACATTTACAGAAAAAGAAGTACGGACATGACTCTGCTTTTATTGCTAGCCCATACTTATAAAGTCTATGGGCATTACAAATTAAATTAAGTATAATTAGCTTATTATAGCTTATTATATTCGAACTGTTGATAAATTAAGTATGTTATTCTAAATGTGTGTATAGACCAACATGATTTTAAGAAATGTCTAATGTCCAAATGTATAAGCACATTTTTTTATTTTTTCGATTAAAAAAGGAAAATAATAAGATAAATAAAGTCAATCGAAAAATTATTCAAAAAATGGCGATATGCAATAGGACGATCACAAACAATACTTTTCAAATAAATTTTTTATCAAGTTTTTGTCTTTTCCTCATTTATTTTTATTTATTAAATTTTTTTTTTTAGACTGCTGCTTTACTTTTCAATGAAAAAGTCAGACATAAATGTTACAATATTTTTTGTCTTTTCTCTTTTTGCGCGATCAAGATTGAATTCAACAAGATAAGCATCAGATTTAGGCAGCATTTTAACACTCACGCGCTGTGAGCATAATTCGTCCTTGTTTAACATTTTATAAATAATAAAAATTAATGATTCCGTTATCGCTGTAAACGCCAAAAGAAATACAGAATGTAGCCTTAACGTCAAGCCGATTAACAACAATTAAACGTGTTATTGCTCCGGAAGTAATAAAACATAATTGAATGATATTTTAACGTGTTTCAACCGCTGTCATTTTTACCGATTTGAATGCGCAACTCGTCCTCGATCCAACATCTAATTTCCGCGATGGCGTCCTCTCTATTTTCATCGGTTTCCGTTAAATGTTCCGCCGCATATTTTTTATCTTCGCTGGTTAATTCTTGCAAATCGTGCACTATGCTGTCACCATAATTACGTTCGTTTCCCATCGTAATGACAATGAATAAGTAGCTTCGTTCACTGATGACGGAAGGATTCTTATCGCGCAGATACAATTTACTATTACGTGTCAGGTTTATACGTGCTCGTTGGAATCATCAAATAATCACAGACTTCTATAGTACACCAGACTACTAGCAACTACTACAGCCACTGCTTGATTGCTAGCGCTAGCTCCCCAGATTAGCCTGAAAAATTTATGTACGCAAGTCGCTATGGAGGGGAAAAGTTGAGCATTGTGGAATGTAAGATGGCCATATCATCTCAACAGCTGAGTCAGCTATCCTTAACATTGGCCTAGACGCCGAGCACTTAATACGCGTACTAACTATATAAACTTGCTATTAAATTGTTTTAATTTCTGCAATGCATTTAAAGAATGATGTACTAAACTGATACACTATGCATTAATAAGATGATTAATTAAATACCACATATCATGTATACGTTTACATGCATCGTCGAAATTAAGAAAATTTGCTAGAATAAGGTACTAGTTAATACAAGTGTCAAATGCTCGGAGTAAACTGGGCCATTATATAACTAACAATAAGCATAGTATATACGCATCAATGCGCATACTTCATCGCGCATGTATGTATACAGGGTGTCCCGTCACTACCGTATTATCTATTAAGAACGTATATATCACGAATGTTGTACATACATACTAGGCAGTTTGACGGGTTGCGCGGTAAACTTTGCAGGGGCAGACACAATTCAGTAATAGTAAAAATTTAAAAAAACACTAAAAACTAAATTAAATACTAAATTCTCATTACTTACTGAACTGCGCCTGTCCCTGTAAGCTGCTGCGCAATCTGTTATACTGCCTAATATATTTATATGCACATTGTTCACATTTATCAAACAAAACAGATCAGTGAAGGCTCATTGATTTTTTGTTATTTTTGATTTATTCACTCAGATCCAGTGAAGAACTAAAGGCAAAGCCAATTATATAAAAGAATTACCGCAGAGCGCTCACTAATCTGTTTTGTCTGTCTAATGTACTCATTGTGTACTGGGTGCATAAATATACAATATTAAGTAGTATAACAGTAGAGAAAAGCATGAGAGCAGTCATCTCGGCCTTTGGCCTTTTAAAGCCCTTTTGGGACCGTTAGAATCCCCCTACACTAGCACACCATATTTTTAACATGGCTATTATTAAAGTAGCTACATTCATTTTCTGACATTGTTCTGATAAAATCATAACATGAAAAATAGATGTGGTTCGAGTCTACATAATAATAGCTGTACTTATTTAGCATATAATTCACAATTCACATTACATATACAGTATACTACTGGCAAGATCATTTGCGTAACAAAAGAGAAATGGTTCATTTTTTTCGAAATTTGTAAAGATTAAGAAGAAGTGCTATCTGTATCCAATAAATTAATAAATTTAAGTGTACTATAAAAAATTTAATTGTTTTCTCGTATTATTTATTTTTTGAGAAATTTTCTAATGGCTCCCTTCATAAATTTCTCCATAAATTCGCACTTGATGAGAAGAATTACACGCATGCCTTAATGCATATATAAAAAGATAAATCTGTTTCGTAACAAATAACAGTAATTCATATTAAGTTGATGTACGACTTTGCTATTGCGACGATAAAAAACATAGAATTTGCATTTGCTATTCCAATTATGGAGGCAAAGTTTAATCTGTGACGCATACTTAATAATAAACGAGATCGTTAGTATAATTTTCAAAATCTGTATGTGATTTTCAAAAAATTATTTCACAACAAAACAGCATTAGTAATTGTATCGTTTACAGATTTACAGCAGATTCAAAAATCCTTAGTTACAAAATTATCTATAATAATTGTTATCTCTGTTCTCTGGAAAATGTACCAATTTAAAAAAAGCTTTCTATAATTTTTATAATATGTATCTTTGACTTTTTAAATAAAATTATAACAAATATAATACTAAATACAATTTATTTTCATGTGAACAGGTATATTTATGTAGATTATTATTTACACATTATACATATAATAACAAATTGATTAGACATATAAAACAGTATTCATTAAAATATGTCTACAAAAATATACAATATAGAAGAAATAAAGTTTCATAGACAGTGAGAAGAGATATATTTCTTATTCATTCATATAACTTTTAGTAACATAAACTTACACTATTATCTTTCCTTAATTTTATCTTTTATCTTTTCACTCGTATTATGCCACCGATAGAATGAATCACCTTATGCAACAAAAAGAGAAAGCAAGATGATTTTTTCCAAAATTCATAAAACAAATAAAATTCGACATTAAATTACGTAATATTATAATAAATACATCCGACCCCATGTCGTATGAACAAATATTTATTACCTTTTCTGAATTCACTGCTCGAAAATATTATTGGTATGTAGTGTATTGGTATGTAGTGTATAGATTTGATTATTCTCATTACTCATAATCCAGTCGCGATTATTTTCGACCAATTTCTTCCAATAATCTGCAAAAGTAAATGTTCATATTATATATATTGAATTGAATGTTTATGCGAATCATATACTTCTCATGTACATTTTAGAAATCGATAATTTTGTTAGCTTTTATTGATTATTTAAGCGATTACTCAAAAGTTTATTTTTTTTCGGCAATAATTTTTACTATTACCAGTTAATTCCTGAATTGTACCATCAGTGCCGCCATACTCAATTGGCAAGATATCTGATGGAATATCCTTAAAACAACTCCGCAACATGTGTGGATAGACGTGAAATCTCTTTTTCAGTTTCTCTGTCATGCAAGCTCTCGCAATCTTGATGATACCATTAACAATTGGAGGGGTGTTGCAATAGTTTAACGACCCCATTCTTATAGGAAAGCAGCTCTGGAGTGCGTGTATTCCATTCCATATTAATAGAGGTGAAATTTGACTTATGTGACGGACTGTTGGATTAGTCATGTCAACGTACAATGCGAAACCATATATAGATGCTGTGGCGTTATTCCTCATTGTTAGATCTAACAATGCCATAAAGACCTGATAAAATCGATGAAAAACAATAGGATATATTTTATCAAGACGACATTAGAAATACATCATTATTTCCGATTTCAATTTTTACCTTAATTAAGTCAGTTAGTTTGTGTATTGTTGGATCATGTTGGAAAAGGCGTACGATGAAAACCAATCTTCCTTGACTATCCAGTTTCCGCAGAGGCAAACACACCCTAAACCAAATATTTTAAAATCATTTGTAGAAGTCAATCTTAGTTTTACAGCGATGCATGTAATTGTGCACAAATATTTTTAATAAAATGTTTTATAAAATATAAAATAGAAGTAAATCATTTTAAATTAGATAATCTAAGTTTCCGGTATTAGAGTAGTAGAGAGATTTTATTTAAATTTAAATTATACATATATATACTCCGAAAGTGATTGTTACCCCATATCAAGCATCTCCTGTAGTTCCGGTTGAAACGGATCCTTATTCATGTACCAATCCGGTAAGGCGGATCGTTGTTTATAATAGTTTTGCATTCTATTCTTAGTTTTCTCAAGGTTAAACTTGCAGACTCTCAAGAATTGCAAGATAAGATAATTATCTACATAAAAATTAAGAGTTCTCTCCAAATAAAAAGCTACAGTGCTAAATCTGTTATTAGATATTATCATAGAACATATATAAGTATGGACTGGCAGTGTGCTATAGTTTTTGTAAGAAGGACTGTTCGGAGAAGATTAAAAAGGGAAATGTATTATACTTTTTAGTAGGTTTTCTTTTTCATTGTGTCCGGAAATATATATTGTGCATGTCAGTGAAACATACATATATGTATATGGCTGGGTTGATTACGTGCTATGACACAACCAATGTAAGCATAATGAGAGTGTACCAATCAGAATACTTCTAATGTATATATGTGTCAACATGCGCAAAACGTACTTCCGGATATTTAGAAAGAGAAGAACGGATTCGATCGGATTTATTTCCATTGCCAGTTCATACTTATAAGGTCTTACAAATTAAAATATGTTTTTCTGAATGTATATATATAGAGCAATATGATTTTAAGGAATGTTTAATATGTATCTATAATAAATGCACGAGCACATTTTTTTGCTTTTCCAATTAGAAGAAGAAATAAGAACTGTATTGGCGGCAAGAAGAAATAAATAAACCAAATCATCAAAAAACTATTCAGAAAATGACGTAATGCAATAAGACGATCATAAAATTTTTCATATAAATCTTTTTATCGAGTTTTTATTTTTTCCTTATTTTTAATTATCGAAAGATTTTAGACTGCTGTTTTTGTTTCCAATAAAAAAATCAGACACTTTATTACATAATTTTTTGTCTTTTCTTTTATCGCGCAATCAAAAATAAATTGCAAGATAAGCATTAGACAAGATTTACAGCCTGCGTTCCGTTTTAACGCTCACACGCCGTGAACATAATTCGTTCCTGTTAACATTTAATAAATAATAAGAATAAATGATTCCGTTAACGCTGTAAGCGCCAAAAGCGGAACGCGACCTTAACATGTCTCTGATAAAGACAATTAAGCGTATTTGCCCCGGCAATAATAAAACATAATTGAACTTCATTGAATAATATTTCAACGCGTGAGACCGCACTTATTTTTACCGGTTCGTATGCATAATTCGTTCTCGGTCCAACATCTAATTTTTGCGATGGCGTCCTCTCTATTTTCATCGGTTTCGTTCAAATGTTCCGCCGCATACTTCTTGTCCTCGCTGGTCAATTCTTGCACACCGTGTATTACACTCTCACCATAATTACGTTCGTTCTCCATCGTAATGACAATGAATCAAAAGTTTTGTCCACTGCAGATAGATTCTTGTCGCGGAGATACGATATACTGTCACGCGTGAAGTTCATACGTGCTAGCTTTGGAATCATCAAATAACCAATAGATCAACACTAAAAGTGATTGCGCCATCTGCAGTAAACAGCGATGATAACATGAATCCGCAGCAAACTATATAATTCAACAGCCTTGACGGAACAATTCATTCTCGATTGCAATCATGAAGAGAATTTAACTTCTTTATAAAGTAACACGCCTTTTAAATAAGTGCACATAAGCTTAAATTATATATTAAAAGAAATTATATTTATATTGCAAAATATAGGGGCTGTCCATATATTACGTAAGGATAACTGGGGGGGGGGAGGGAGGGTCAGTCAAATTCTGACAAATGATTACATGGGAGAGGATCGTACATATTCTTACGTAAGATTTTTCATGTCTGCTGCTGTCATGAAAAACGAACAATATTAACTTTACATCGAGCATAATTGGAAAAATCTTACGTAATTAGGGGGGAAGGGAGTTTCATAAATTCTGACACTTGCTTACATGGAGGAGGGGGAGGGGATAAAAAATAGCCAAAAATATGTTTACGTAATATGTGGACGGCCCCATATGTATAAAATAAATAATTAAAACGTCTAACGTTTACGTTTAAAGAGATAAAATGTTTTACGCAAAACATTTTCTAAATTACAATCGAATAGATAAAATTTGTCTCTTCTTCTATTTACATAATTTGAGAATTTTTATTAAAAATATGTATTTATACATCGGCTCTTCTACTTTATGCTCCTGCTGGCAAGGATCTTTTGCGTAAAGAAAGAATTAGAGAAATAATTCATTATTTTCTGAACTTGATAAAGGCCAAGAGAAAATGCTTGTATTCGATAAAATAAAATCAAGCATGTTATAAATAAAGTAAACGTCTTAATATAAAAAAGTATAGAAAAATAAAACTGTTTTGCAGCAACTATAGCGTTTTATCTATTATTGATATGATAGCAGAATAATATCTATATTGAAAGCTGAGTCATACTCAATGAGAAATAGCCATCAATTTGACGTCGATTTGACATCGATCATTTCTTACTGGGTATTATGTAACATCTTTACTATCATGAAAGACTTCATAATCCTAATCATAACATCAAAAAAATATCGGCACATTTGATAATGTTTACATGAAAATCTAAACGAGATATAGCGAAAGTTCAAAGTTTGAAACAAGATTAGAAAACACCAAATGCGATCTAAAGCGGATCTTGCTAAAGCTTAGTAATAATATTTTTGTGTTAATCTTAAAATTTCCAGTTCAGACATACTGCGCGTCGAATATTTGTCGGTTTTGAAACATCCTGGCTGAAATAATATTTTTTGCAATAAGTTATCTACAGGAGAAATAATTATTAAGAATAAGATGCTCATTAGCATAGAAAATTATTAAACTGCTTGTCAATTTAATTGTGATATTAAATTGACAAGTGACGTACGTAATCAAAATTAAGTGTGCGGTTGTGTTTCAAAACCGTATCAAATATTCCACTGCATACATCTTATCATCGCTGGTCAATTCTTGCGAACCGTGCACAACACTGTTACCATAATAATGTTCGTTCTCCATCGCAATGGCAGTGAATAAGCTTCGTTCACTGCGGAAGGATTCTTGTAGCAAAGATACAATTTATACTGTCATTCATGAGGTTTATACGTGCTATTTGGTATCATCGAATCGAATATAACTAACTAACCGCGTCATCTATAGCAAACAACAATGCATAACATGTATCTGTAGCAAATAGGTACAATAATTGTATTATACATACCTTGACGGAATTTACTATTCATTCTCGAGTCATGAGGAGACTTTAATTTCTTTAAAGTAGCACACTAAGGCCTTTAATACATATGAGTTTAAATTATATTGAAAGTATATAGTTTATACATATAGTTATATTATTACTCCCAAAATATATAAAATAAATATTGAAAGTATACAGTTATACTATAATTATATTATTACTCTCAAAATGTATAAAATAAATAAGTTAAAACGTCTAACTTGATAAACTTAAATAAAATGTGTTAAAACATTTTTTAAATTACAACTAAATAGATAAAATTTGTTTTTTCTTGTATTCACATAATTGAAAAATACAGAAAATTTTCATTAAAAGCATTCGTACATCCGCTCTTCTGCATTATGCTTCTGGCAAAGATCTTTTGCTTAAAAAAGAGAAATGATTCACTTCTGTTTCGAAACTCGTGAAGATCAACAGAAAATTCGATCTGTATTCAATAAATTAATAAAGTAAATTCAAATGTGGCGTAAATAATGTAAATGCTTTCTATTGTTACTTTTTGTTAGAAATGTTCTACGGCTCCCTCCATTAATTCGTACTTGATGAGAAAATTTGCACGTGATGCGTTAATGCAACGCATAAAAAGATAAACCTGTTTCGCAACAAATAGCTGTTATACTGAGCTAATGTAACAACTTTGCTATCGCAATGATAATAAATTACATAGAATTTGTATCAGCGAATTATGCAGGCGCAGTTTAATCCGTGACGCATAATTAATGATAAACGAGATTGACATGAACTTCCAAAATCTGTGTGCAATTTTCAACAAATTATTTTTACTGTAAAACATCAATATAATTGTATCATCTACAACAGTATTTGCTAAATTGTCAATGATTTAATTCATAGTTTTTCCCCAATGTTATACACTATTTTTAACAATAAATAACCATAACGAATATAAAAAATTCCTTTTGAGAGCTAAAAGTCCTAATAACATACTTAATTTTAATTGCAAAAACGCTTCTCCAGCACGTCGTATTTCAAAGTTATAATATGATAAAATAAAGAGAAAATAATCCTTTTTGCAATTTTACCAGCAAATTTTTCAAAATTGTATCGTAATAAAGCAATTCAACAACCGGATTCGGATTCAGCGTAAAAAATTATAGGAAGAGACTCGTTATAGTCATTTATAGGAAGAGTCTCGTTATAGTAATTTTTTTTGTAAAACTGTGTTATACAAACTAATATAAAGTAACTATTATAAATTATTATAAACTCATTAATATCACTCAAATTAATTATTATTTTTACTAAAGACTTTATATTTTATTCGTTATTTGATCATATTATATTACCAATAGAATTACTTAAAAATAAAAAAGAAGAAAAAATGATTTGTTTTTGCAAAACTCAAAACCAAACAAAATTTGACTATATTACAATAATATTATAATAAATTAATATATATTCAAACATGTTTTAAAAGCAAATATATGTTTCCGAGTTTAAATCCACTGTACCAAAATATTATTCAATTTTGTCATTTTCACCACTCATAATCCAGTCGTGATTCTCTTCGGCCAATCTCTTCCAATAATCTGCAGAAGTAAATATTTATATTATATACAGTGAATTAAATAATAATTCGAGTTTAAACAATAAGTAGGTACTTCATATATTTTTGAATTCTGTGAATTGTTAGCATTTACTGATTATTTAAACAATTACTGTTAGAAGTTCTTTTTATCAGTACTTGCTATTATTACCAGTTAATTCCTGAATTGTACCATCAGTGCCGCCATATTCGATTGGCAAGATATCTGCTGGAACATCCTTAAAACAGCTCTGCGACATGTGTGAGTAGACATAAAATCTGTTCTTCATCTTCTCCGTCATGAAAGATTTCATAATCCTGACAAT